ACCCCCCCAGGCCCTCCAAGATAGCCTGGAAGAGACCCCCCCGAAATGAGACCCCTTCCCTTTTATTACGAAATCTGGAGTAGCATAAGGTGCAGTCCTGTCTTTCGTCGGTTTATGAAGGGCCGAGGATCACCCATCCAGAAAAAGTCCCGCCGCTGCGCCGGGGACCAGCCGCTTCCCGGAGCTCCAGAACCCACGAGCCGGGGGGCGGGGAGCCGGCGCTGGCGTCTCCACGGACGTCGGCGTCCCTGGCCTCGGTCCAAACGCCCGGCGTACGCCGGCCCATTTCTTTCAGGAGGGGAAAAAACACACAGACACAATTAATCGTCGATCCCTCGGAAAATATGGGAAAATATGGGAAGTGGGGGGGAAGACAAAAACCCAGAAAATATGGGAAAATATGGGACATCATTTTATTTGTGTGTATTTATTTGTGTGTCCTGGGGCCCCTGCATAGGTGAGAATACACAGACCCCTAATCGACCATTCATCGCCGATAGGGGCCCGATAGTCGCACCCCGCCCAGGGACGTGCGGATCCGCTATCGGGGGGCTATTGCCGACCTATCGGCGACGTATCGCCGATTCCAGGTCGGCGTTCCCCCTCCTATGCCAGCCCCCCCAATCGTTGCCCTTGATTTTTGCGCACCCCTCACACGGATCGCACTCTTCGGGGGTTTGATGATTTTTTTCAGCTTGAAGCGTTGGTCACGAGTCTTGAGATATGGGTGTGGCATTTGTTTCACAGCATGCGTTTGCGCCCAGTTTGAGGACCCGCTGCCATGACGGATCGATCAGGTTTGAAATGCAGCAGAAAGATGGGGTCCAGGGCCCTGGTCGCATCTTTTAGTTTACGGTGCCACATTTGTTTCAGAAGGTTGGTTCTCAGGGATTGGTCGGCGTGATGAGTAGGTTCGCGTCTTGAAGAAGCGGACGGGGAGGAGGAGACAGGGAGCTGGACGACGGCGTTGTGAAGACGTCTGAATCATGCCTCCATGTAAGTGCTGCCTCGTATGTTGCATTCGGCCGACTGTCGCGCTGGACAGAAAACGCTCGGCCCTGACAAACAACCAACTTGAGACCACATGTCGAGTTTGTAAGATTACCGAGCTACTTTTCCCTAGTAGCGTTTCGTTCAAAGGGTCCTTGGTATCGCTCGGACGTGTGCACTTTTTCTCGGCGGGGACTAGTAAGGAGCATCCTGGATCATCATGCGAAAAAAAACACGCACGACACCGAAACAAACACAGGGAATGGACTTCCGAGCGACGGGGAGGGTCCTCGAGGTTGAGGAGGACCACAGCAGAGTCCCACAGGGGGCACGGGGAGCCCGAGACCGCCCAGGCCCGGCAGCGGCCCGGCAGCCGCTTCGCCTGAGACTTTCTCACAGTCGCTCCCGGCTTCGCGCTCTTTCGCCTCGATGTCGGTCACGTTGCTAGTCTGGACGGCCACGACCCTTTGGGCAAAAAGTATGCACTACGGTGCACATGGCCGTGTCCTCCTCCTCCCCCTCCTCCTCCTCCTCCTCCTCGTCCCTTCCTCCTCCTCCTCCTCCTCTCCATCCTCCTCCTCCTCCTCCTCCTCCTCCTCCTACTCCTCCGCCTACGTCTCGCCCCGCCTTTGTTTGCCTCTGCTGTGCCTGGTGTCGGATCGGATCGGTTCGGATCGGCATCGAGAGACATGCTTTGCTTCTCTGCGGGCCCCCTGGCTGAATAGCCCCGAGCGGCAGCAGATGCAAGAGCATGGGGTGAGATGGGGGGGGACCAGGAGGGCGATAGGGCAAGAGGAGAGGAAGAGGAAGCAACTGACTGGTGGAAGTTGGAAGGCCGACGCCTTGCTGGGATAATCCCCGACCCTCGGGATGCAGGACGGGCGAAGCCTGGCACCCGCCTTCGAGGGATCCAGGGGGCCAGCCTCTCGCCCTCCGCCGTGGCTGGCGGAGGCAGAGCGAGGTCGGCTCCGCCAGCGGCGGGCGCCGAGCGCGTTCCATCACTCGCAGGGCGCGCACAGTCAACCTGCACAGGAAGGATGGGCCACCCTCCCCAAGGGCACCCCTGCAGCCTTCCCTCCTCGGCCCATCCTCGACCACTTTCGTTGGCCGCGCCCCGCTCGAAAAGCTTCGAAGTGAGCGTCCAAGGCCACTGCATCCTTATCGCGCATCCTTATGATGCGGGTCGACTGTGCTCTCAAACGTCAGGAACAACAACATGTTTGCGTCGACGGAATGTGTCGTAAACCCGCCGCGGTGGATCCAGGCCATTTGCGAGTAGTTACTCTGCGAGTAGTGGGCCGCGCTTGTCTAGGAAACTCGGCGGACGGCCGTGGGGGGGTGAAGATGCCGGGCAATGCAGCGATCGATCCATTTCGTCATAGTTTTCGGGCGTCTGCATCCGATCCGGTTCCGATTTCTCGTCGATCCGAGGCGGCCCGATGCTTGCGTGGCGCTGCTGTTCATCTTCGCGCGGCCCATTCGAGTTGATTTCGACCCCGTGCCGATGCAGCCCGATCCGACGCGGAATTCGATTCGATCCTACTTCCAGATTCGATGCTGCTTGATCCTGACATTGACAGAACGCCTACCCAGGCAAGCCGACTGAGGACACCTGCACCAGCTCACTCGGCATTGGCATCCGAGTGTGCGGGTGCAGTCCCCGATTGGCCTAGTGGCTGTTGAACACGCTCTGGGCGTTTTGTTGTTGTTGTGACAGTTGTCAATTTCTCCGTCTCGTCAGTCGACAGCGTGGACCTCAAAACGATATAGCGACGGAGCCACGACAAAACAGGCTTCGCGGCGAACGCTGGCTTTCTTGCAAACTGCTAGCAACACGATCGGTTTTACGCTGACACGCACCCCTGTAATTTGTCAGAAAAGAATGATTTTTCTAACATCGGAGCTTGCACACGCAATATTGCCTATTGGATTCGATTGTGGCAGGGAGCCGAAGGCATCAGCAGAGCGTACGGAGAAGAAGAGAGGAAGGGGAAGAGGAGAGGGGGAGGAGAAAGGAATAATGAGAAGAAGAGGAAGGAAAGTGAAGGGTCAAGCAAACTATCTGCCATGCGGCAGGGACAGCTGAGAAGAGGAGAGGAAGAGGAAAGGAAGCGGAGGGCTTCGCCGATGCAGAGGAGGCGGAAATGTTGACCAATCTCCCATCCCTGGGAGGGGAGTTGCAAACGCTTTGAAAACGTATTGCATACGCATTGAAAACGGTCCCAAACGAGACATTTCGATCGTTTGCCTGGGGGAGGTGGAGATGTCGAAGGTGTTCTAAGTCGTCGTATGTAGGTGAGGGGGGTCGGAGAGCGACTGATTGAAAAAATGCAAGATTAAGGACATGCACGTTCGCTCCAGAAGGGTATCTCTTCTGCACCTACAGCTGCCGCCAGCTCGCTGCCTGCTGCAACGTGCAGCCTGTCCTTTCTGCAGTTCCTCATGCCGACTCCTACTTAATCACCTGCTAGTGCTGGCGAGAAGACGCCTATATAAACACAGCGTTGCGAGACAGACCTGAAAACTATTGTGAAGGCCTTATTGCCTGTGCCGCCGACCCTGAAGGGGGAGCCCGAGGCGTCTGGGAGGCAAGGATCGAAGGGGAAAGCTTCTCCCAGGGAGGCCCCCCCACCTAACCACCCCCCCTACCCTTGCCCGGACCCCTCCACACCCTCCCCGTAAAGTAGATACTCGCTTTGGGGACCTTCCGAGGGCCCACCTACATTGCCTTGGAAAAGTCATGCAACTCTAGTCGTCTGTTTGCTTGTCTTCGTTGGCTTTGTTTTTGCCATTGTGTTTGACTTCCAGAGGCCGTTTTCGGGCCCCAGGACCGTCAGAAACAGACCTGGGATGAAAATCGACCCCCAGGGAAGGCCCCCAGACGATTTTCGACAGGACCTAGTTCGACTCGAGTTCAGTACTAGTTCGACTCCAGATCGACTCAAGTTCGACTCAAGTCGACGGGCATCGGACACAGCATCGACGCACGAGAGGAGCGAGTGGCATCTACCCCCGCAAAGAGATGCCACTTTGGGTGATTCGGAGTTTCTGGAGCGGGCCAAGTGCTGCAGCAGTGTCATTCACGCGTAGGCCTCGCTCGCGCGGTGTCCGTCCTTGAGATTCGACGTTGCGAAGGAACTGCAACATCGTGAGCAATCACGATCGGAGCCCCGGTTTCCATCCTTCTGCGCCGTTCCTTCGAGCTGGATCTATCTGTGATGGTCCCAGATCCATGGATCGAAACCGGGCGAACGCCTGGTGTGAAAAAAATGCAACGCCTCGATCTCAGGGTTTCGCGCGGGGCCTCCCCCGAGCGCGAGCTCCCGCGAGGCCGCGGTGCGCCAGCCTGTTCCGAGCGGGCCGTCGATGACGATGCAGCAGGCGCTGGAGAAGCAGCAGGCGGAAGCACAGGCCGGATTGAGGAGGAGGGGGCAGAAGAGGAGGTGGAGGTGGAGGAGGAGGAGGAGGAGGAGGAGCGAGAATGCTGCGAGCTCCGTCGCTCAGAGTCTGGCCAACGCAAACAGAGGAGGAGGAGTATGAAGGAGGGACGGGGGAGGTGGAACAGGAGGGGGAAGATGAGGAGGGAGCCGTTTTGACTCGATGGGTGCATGGTTAAGCGCGAACTTCTCGTCGCCAGAGCGTCGGCCACGCTCTCAGAGCGATCCGGAACGCTCAAGGCCGTGCCGCCCGATACATTCGGGCGGGGGTATGCCACGGATAGATCGTCCGAGGGCTTTCCGGAACGCCCTCGGAGCGTTCTGGGAGAAGGCCGCGGTGCCCGACACGTCCCTCAATGCCGCCGGATATCTCAGAGACCCCCCGACCTATCCCGACCCGACTTTGTCCCGTTCCTGGCCTCCTGTCGGAGGAGGGGGAGGAGAGGCGCTGGGCGGGTGCAGGAGGGCGGGGAGGCGGGAGGGCGAGGGAGGGGCGGAGGAGGGCCCTTGGTAGGGGGGTTCGTTGGCCGCACTGGCTCGAGGCGTGATAGTCGGCATGCCGCGCCGACGGCCATGCGGCGTGTCCCGATATGCTGCGCGCTGGTGGCGCTGCTCGCGGCCCTGGCGAAGGTGGCCATCGTCGGTATCGTTTCACCGACCCCCATCTCCATCTCCATCCCCCTCGAGACCCTTACCAAATGACTCGCCCAGTTGGGGATGCACCCCTCGAAACCCGAAGGGAACGGGGGTAAATGCGGCGTCACCCCAACATACTTATACTATATGTGCGTCGCCCCCTCAGGGGCGACGCGCGCACCAAGAAATCTTATAGTATATGCGTCGTGGCGGGCGCTTTCTGGCCACACCGCTCGGGAAACGATATACTACAAGATGGGTATACTATATGTTTGGGTGGGACGCGCGCCTCCAAGGCGAACGTATAGTACTAGTATGTCCTTGTGCGTCCCATAAATCTGCCAGTGGGGCCCAGGCCACGCCGCTGGGCATGGGGATCGGTTTAAGCGATACTCACACGTCGACGCGCGCCAGAAGATCAGGGTCGTGCAGCTCGCCGAGGCTCGTGGGCGGAGAGGGCGTGTCCGTAGAGCCACGGCCTCGCGGGCCGGGGGCCCCCGGGCCGCGGCCCCGTGGACGCGGGGCGTCTTCTCGGAGGTGCCCCGCGCGGAACGTGTTCGATTTTGAAAGAAAATCTATCGATTTTTGCAAGAAAAGATTTGGCTCGATTTTGAAAGAAAGATCGATTTTGAAAGAATCGATCGATTTTTGTTGAAAGAAACCGCGACCGCACACACACGGGATCGATTTTGAAAGAAAAGTATTTGGTGAGCCCGTAACGTCCGTTACGGGGGGTCGTCCCCCCCCCCCCCTCCCTCCCAGTAGCAGTACCGAGCGTGCGCGGGGGGGGGGTGCAAGTTGCCCCGCAGGCATGCTGTGGTGCCCCGCAGGCATATGTTGGTGCGGGCACACAGTATATACACCCACTGCGTCTTGGACGTTCTGGAAAAGGAGCGCCAAGAGGCCGATGCACAGTGGATACGATACGGATAACAATCTAGCTTTGGAGGGATACGGATAACAATACGGTAACAATACGGATAACAATACGATACGATACGGATAACAATAGCGGATACGTTTATATCTATACCGAATGCACCTCTAGCTTCGGGGGGAGGGAGCCCGAAAGTCCAGGACGCAGTGGATATGGATGTACATCTTGCCCTCGCTTGGTGATGCTATGGCGCTCGCAGGCCTGACCCACCCCCCTTACCTCCTGCGACGGACGTTGCAGGGGTTGGGGGGGGGCACTAAAAACGATGTCACCGCGCCCTGCCGTTCAGACCGTGAGGGGCGTCGGTATGGACACACCCGCCGCTCGCGTGCGAGAGGCCCGCTGGGTGAGCGCCGAGGAGCTGTGGGCGGCGGCGATGTCCTCTGCGGACCGAGACGGCCTCCGCGAAGCCCTCCGCGGCTTCGAGGTCGCCCTCGCAGGCACGGCGCCACCTCCCGCCGCCGCGCCGCTCGCGGACCGCTTCGCGGCCTGGCTCGGCGGGCCGCTGCGACTGCGCTGCCTGCACCGCGTCGCCGCGGGCCGCGAGCTGCTGCGCGACAGCCTGGCGGCCGTGGTCAGCGGCCACGCCGAGGAGGAGAAGATACCCAGATCTCCGACGATATCATTCTTTCCAACCGGCGGGTTTTCTTCGATCTTGGCACTCTGGGGGCCGTTTTCAGGGCCAGCAGAAACGGGCCCGGGGCTAAAAACTGCCCCTAGGGAAGCGGTCGGGCTCTTTGGGGCCGCGGATCAAAGCACTCAGATCGGCAGATGTCGCGATATGCCGATGCCGCTGCTCTCGTCCTGGAGAGCCCCCGTCGCTGCGGCCAGGATTCTCATCGAAAATCTGGTCGGACTTCTCCCCAGGATCGCAGGCCTAGAGATTGACACCAACACCAATTTCGGCAGTGTGCCCCGACCGAGGGCAGACGATCCCGATCTTGGTGATGGTGGTAATATTCTGGCTTCCAAGGTGACCGAAATATTACCACCAACACCGAAATCTAGGATCATCGTTCCCCTGTGGAGGCAACCCCCTGTCTTGGTGTTGGTGCCCATTTCCAGGCCTCCAACAGGAGCCCAGACGTCCGGCGCTCCAATTTTTCAATGCGGAGGGCTGGACCGTTTCCCCAGGGCCAGCTCTTTTTCGTCCCGAGTCGTTTTCCGACGGCCCTGGGGCCGTCGAGGGCCCGCCGGAAGGCCGACAACGGTTCCAGACCGGCCTTTCCATCCAGATTCTGACATCGGTCTTTTTGGTCTTGTGGAGGACGATCCATAGAGGAGGCACGTTGCACAATAATTTCCAGGTGTCTAGAACATGTTTCAACCATGTGTCAAACATGAAGAACACGTCTAAGCATTGTTGAACACAGAAAACAAAACACACATGTTTGTATTTTAGCATGTGAAGCGCATATTTAATTCAACGATCGTACTTTTAGAGTGCCCCCCTGCCGTGCCAAGCACAACTTCTGTCCCCCCCCCAGGCCACGCCGCCCTGCTGCGCGAGGGCTACTGCGAGGCGGCCCTCGCCGACGCGAGCGGCGAAGGGCGCGCCTCGCAGGCGGGCCTCCGCGCGCAGCACACGGCGTGCCTGGCGCCGATCGCGCGGGGCCTCGTCATGTTCGCGGCCGACGAGGCGGAGGCCCAGGAGAGGCGAGCGCCAGGGGTGTGGTTGCGCCAGGGTTCGAAGAATCAGGAGGGGAAAAAACACACAGACACAATTAATCGGCGATCCCCAGGAAAATATGCGAAAATATGGGAAGTGGGGGGGAAGACAGAAACCGAGAAAATATGGGGAAATATGCGGAATCCTTTTATTTGTGTGTATTTATTTGTGTGTCCTAGGGCCCCTTCAAAGAAGAGCAGGTGCCAGAAGCGGAAACTTTTGGCGCTCCGCGCGGGTTGCTCGGATCCGCGCCTGGCCTCCCCCCCCCCCCCCCTGGGGGGGCACCAAGAATCAATGGACGTCCTCCCACAATTCGAGGAAGGAAAAACGCCATAAACGTAAACTTTTGCTGCTCCGCACGGAATTCTTGGATCCGCGCTGGGCCCCCTCGGCAGCGCCTTCGGCGCCGCCCCTGGCGTGCTTCGCGCGCCAGGGAGGGGGGTCCAGCTCGGATCCGAGAAGTCCGCGCGGAGCGCCAAAAGGTTGCCCAGGCTGATGGGCCGATTTTCCACCGCCACTGCCATGGGTAGGAGAGGGAGGAGGAGGAGGAGGAGGAGGAGGAGGAGAAGGAAGAGGAGGAGGAGGAAGAGGGAGGAGGAGGAGGAGGAGGAGGAGGAGGACCTCCCCATCCTCCCTTCTCCCCCGTCCTGCCTGTGCTGGTCCGCGGAGCCCTCGGCGAGGCGCGGCGGGGACCTTCGCCCTCCGCAGGCCCAGCCCCTTCGGAGCCCCTTTGGCCCGCGGCACCCGCGCCACAGCTTGGCTCTCCGGGTGACAGTCTTCACCCGTCGGAGCCCCGAGGAGGAGGAGGAGAGGAGGAGGAGGAGGAGGAGGAGGAGGAGGAGGAGGAGGAGGAGGCCACGGCACCCGGGCCAATGGGCCGGCGCTCGGGCGACGGAGCTCGGGCCTCGGGCGGCCAGAGGCCCGCTGCTCGCCACGTCTGCAACAACAACTCCTCCTCCTCCTCCTCCTCCTCCCTCCTCCTCCTCCTCCTCCTCCTCCTCCTCCTCCTCCTCCTCCTCCTCCTCCTCCTCCTGGGGAGCACCGCAGGGCCTTCGTCGGTACACGATTCGTCCTGGGGCCACTGTGAAAATGCCCCGTCGAATGAGGCGGCGTAGACGACTGACACTATTCTCTATAGATCTATCGCGAACTCGGCTGGCGAGATCAATGCTTGCAAGACCTCGGAGCGCGGCGGGGAGCTCCGTCCTCTGCAGCCCCAGGCCCTGCGGAGTCCCGCCATCAGGGCCAACGAGAGGGAGGGACAGGCACAGGGGGGATGTATCGACGCTTAATCGCCCATTGATCGCCGTTAGTGGCCCGATGGCCCCAGCCCGCCCAGGAAGGTGCAGTTTCACTATCGGCGGCCTATCGCCGATCTATCGACGATATATCGTCGATTCCACGTCGATGCATCCCCCCCTACAGCCAACCATGAGAGTGAGGATGGGGCAACTCTCCAAGGCTACCCTTGCATCCTTGCCCCTTCGGTATTCGGCATCCCTCGGCATCCTGCTGCGCTCCGCACGGAAAACGTCAACATGGCGTTCCAGGGCCCTTGCACCCTTACCGCGCAGCCTTACCATCCTGGCCGAGCGTGTGCCAGCCCCCCCCCCCTATCGTTGCCTCTCACGCCAGCGCGGACCCGCGGCATCCGAGGCCACAGGCTGGCTCTTTTTTGGCGACAGAGCTAGGGCCTCGGGCGGCCGACCGGGGCGGCCCGCGTCATCCCCGGCAGCGCCCTCGGCGAGGCGCAGCGGGTGGAAGCCTCCGCGGGCCCCGAGTGCCTCCTCTTCTTCTTCCTCCTCCTCCTCCTCTCCCTCTCCCTTCCTCCTCCTCCTCCTCCTCCTCCTCCTCCTCCTCCTCCTCCTCCTCCTCCTCCTCCCCATACTCCTCCTCCTCCTCCCCCTCCTCCTCCTCCTCCTCCTCCTCCCCATACTCCTCCTCATACTCCTCCTCCTCCTCCTCCTCCTCCTCCTCCTCCTCCTCCTCCTCCTCCTCCTCCTCCTCGTCCTTCTCCTCCTCCTCCTCCTCCTCCTCCTCCTTCCCGAGTGTCTTCTCATCCTCCCTCCTCCTCCTCCTCCTCCTCCTCCTCCTCCTCCTCCTCCTCCTCCTCCTCCTCCTCCTGGAACCCTCCGCGGGCCTCGAGCACATCCCACAGTGCCCGAAAGCCAGCGGAGGGAAATGTAGAGTGGTGGCCTATGCCAAGAAACACCCTGCTTGCCTCCAGGGTGACCTGGGTTCCTTGGTTTGCCATGGAGAGCGTGGCGTTCCCACACCAAGAATCAATGGACGTCCTCCCACAATTCGAGGAAGGAAACACGCCATAAACGCAAATTGTTGGTGCTTCGCACGGAATTCTTGGATCCGCGCTGGGCCCCCTCGGCAGTGCCTTCGGCGCCGCCCCTAGCGCGCTCCGCGCGGCAGGGAGGAGGGTCCAGCGCAGATCCAAGAAATCTGTGCGGCGCACCAAAAGTTTACGTTTACGCCGTTTTTTCTTCTTCTAACAATTTACGAAAGTCAGCGAAGGTACCCATACTGCTACCCTCGTTTCGTTTTCCCCTTCTTGTGCCTCGGGGGAGGCCCTAGTCGCAAACGCTGGAGTCGTCTCGGAATTCTCGGCAGAACGCACCCCGGGAGAGATCCGGTGCGAAGCGGTATCGGTACCTTTTGGTTTCCCCAGAAAGCCTTTGCGACGAGAGGAGAGTTTCGCCCGCGTTACCGCGCTGCGCCACGCGGACGGCTCGTCTGCGGTGCTGAGCTCGAAGGATCAAAAAACAGCATAAGCACAAACTTCTGACGGTCCGCAAGGATTTCTTGGATCTGTGCTGGCCCCCCCCGGCGCCGCCTCTGGCACCGCCCCTGGCGCCCTCCGTGCGTGAGGGAGGGCGGCCCCAGCGCCGATGCAAGCAATTCGCGCGCACTCCCGAGAGTTTATGCTCATCCTGCTGTTGTTTGTTCCTCCATGGGCTGGACGACGCGCTGGCAGCTCCCCGACCGCCATGTCCCGGGCCTTCGGGCCCAGCCCTGGTGGCCGGAGCTGCCCGCCGCGGCTCGGCTCGAGGCGCTCGCCGGCGTCCTCGCGGGCGAGCTCGAGGCCGCGCTGGCGCAGGCGGGGGGGCCTGGCGCCTTCGAGCGCCGCCGCGCAGACGCGTGGATCCCCGAGCCGCGCGACGGGTGGTCCGGGAGGCCGAGTGCGGTCAGGAAGTGTGGCTCAGCGCGTCGCTCCGCCGGTTCTCGAAGGCGGCAGAGGGTGCCGATGCCGCTGCCCTCGCCTCGTTGTCGCCGTTCTGGGCCTCCCGGGTGGCCCTCGCCACCACCGCTGGGTTCGCCTCGAGATTATGGTTAGAAGGCACCCTGGGAGAGGTCCATGGAGTGGCGATGGTCAAGAGGCCGAGTGTGTGCTAGAAGCAGGCGTTTTCAGAATGGGGATGGAAATGCGTTGCATGCTTTTTGGGGGAGGCAGTTTGCCCTTGCTGAGATGCGCTCTTTCCCTCTTGCGTCCGAAACGGGGGTCGTTCAAGACAGCGGTGCCTCACACCATGCGGCCCGAAAAATGCGGAGGGCGTTTCGGCAAGCGAACGTGGCCGGCGAACCAAAACGCTCCGAACAGGGGTTGTGCCGCGTGCCCCCGCCCCCACTTTTCAACACGCCCGCTCGGGCACATGCATGCATTATGTCGGGCCTGTCCCTCTACAGGGGTAATATTCAAAAATAGTCAAAAGTAGATTGGGGATGATTCGTTGAGTATGTTTGATCATTTTTTGTATTATGATATTTGAATGTTTCGTCCAACATCCCCCTGTAGGGGGACATGCCCGATTTAATGCATGCACTGACCTTCACCTGCTAGTACACCGGCTCCCGGTGCCTGAGGCTGCCTGCGCGCCTTCTTCTGCGCAGACTTTCTACACGTTATTCCTTCCTAATTCTTCGAAAGTTTTTTGATCTGTTGGGGGGCCAAAAGCCTTTCATTTCTAATTGTTCTATCCTGGGCCTCTTCCTGGCCACTAGGGGGCGAGGAACTATTAGAAACGAGCACAAGTAGAAATGAGCACGGTTAGAAATGAACGACGTGTGCATTTGAGGCCTCTGGCAAGCTTCCTCATCTGTGGTCGCCCTCTTCTTTTCCGTCTGCCTTGGTGTGTTCACTGCCCAGCGCTGCCCACCGGCTTTCTCGAACGCGTTTGCGACCGTTAGCGCTGCGGGCAAACAGAACAAGGTTGGGCACCTTCCGCGTTTCCCACGGTGGTCAGTGGCAACGATCTGGGGAGACAGAGGAGGAGGAGGAGGAGGAGGAGGAGGAGGAGGAGGAGGAGGAGGAGGAGGGGGATGCATCGCCCCCCAATCGCCCATTGATCGCCTATATAATTAGCCTATAGCCTACAGGGGTCCGCTCGCCCGCCCCGCCTCGGAGCGTGCGGCTTCGCCCCTCGGGGGTCCGTCGCCGACCTGTCGGCGAGATCTTGCCGATTTGAGGTCGATGTTCCCCCCCCCTCCCTCTCCGCCTCCCCCTCCCCCTCCCCCTCCCCCCCCCCCTCCCCCCTCCTCTTCCTCCTGCTCATCATCATCTTTTTTCTCGTCTCCTCCTCCTCCTCCTCCTGCTACTTCCCCTCCTCATCCTCCTCCTCCTCCTCCTCCTCCTCCTCCTCCTCCTGTCCTCCTGTCCCCTCCCTGTCATCATCCTTGTTCCCCCCCCCTGAGGCGGGCGCTCCCTGAGCCGGTCGCCCCGCCCCCGTCGTTTCGGGTGCTGCTGGAGGTACCCCTGGCCCAAGGAACCCCCATAGGATTCTCAGGGTGGCCCGGACGGCCTCCAGGGCCCCCCATCACGAGGCCCAGCGGGCCCCTGGGGCGCCAGAGCGGAGCGCAAGGCTGGGGGCACCTTGGGCCAGGGGCACTGCTAGCACTTCTAGCAGCACCCGATCGTTGCTCCCCAGGTGGGGGATGCTGCCCGTCGGCGCGCGGCAGTGCGCCGTCGCCCCACGCACCTGCCAGGCCCTGCGCGAGCTCCGCGGCGGCGCGGGGGAGGGCGGCGGGGGGGGCCTCGGCGGCGCAGGCTGGTGCCCAGGAGGGACACATGGGCACAAGCACAACACACACACAGACACACACACACACAGACACACACACACACACATTCACACACACACACACAGAGAGAGCAGACGGGTTACTGGAGGGCAGCAGGAACGTCCACAGGACATGAGAACGTGTGGGGGATCCCTGCTCCCCTTGAGGTACGTGCTGCGCGCGGGGGCGCGGCTGCGGGCGCACGCGGGTCCGACCAACGAGCGGCTCACCTGCCACCTCACGCTGGGCGGCCGCGGTGCCCGCTTCACGGTCGGCGGCGTGCAGCGTGAGTGGCTGCCGGGGAGGGCCCTCTGCTTCGACGACTCGTTCGTCCACGAGGCCGTCCACGGAGGGGAGGATGACCGCTACGTTCTCCTGGTGGACGTGCCCCACCCAGATCTGGGCGCTCTGGGGCGGCACGCGCCGGACTCCGTTTAGCACGCCCGAGAGGGAACCAACCATTCACAGCCCAGTCGTCGTTATCGTCGTCATCGTCTCGATCGTCACTATATTTGAGCTTGGTGTCGATCATCGTTACCGCCATCGTCTTCACCACCCATCATCATATCACTAATCAGAATCAGTAACATCATCATCACCATCACCATCACCTTCATCATCACCATCACCATCACCATCACCACCATCATCATCATCATCATCATCATCATCGCCGTCGTCAGTGTTGTCGTCGCCGTCACCGCCGCCGTCGTCGTCGTTGTTGTCGTCGTCATGATAATATCAATCATCTGCACCATCACCTCGCCTCGCACTGTCCGTGCCTTGAGCCTGACCTCGTTGAGGTTGCTGCTCCTCTCCCCCGGTAAACGTAGACAGGATACGGACAAGCAGAGTAGGGCGATGATAAACGATGACAAGGAGGAAGAGAGCGAGGACGAGACGTAGACTGTGGAGGAACTGGGAGGGAGAGAGGTGTCGAGCAACCTGTAGTAGTGGGGCGACCATGTGCTGATGAGGGGAGGATTTGACCAAGGATGCGGAGAAGACATGAGGGAGCAGCAGCTGAAGAGGGTGAGGGGACGCAGCAGCAGCGCCAGATGAGCAGGATGAGAACGACGATGGGGATACGGCGACGGTGGCGATGGTGATGATGACGACGAGGATGATACGGATCAACACGAGCATGGGGAGGAATAGTGGAATAGTATGATAGTGTGAGAGTATCAGGTGGCGGTGTGCACCTGGTATAGTCAGCCAGCTGCTTGCGGCACACCCGCGCAACAGAGGAGATTGCCTTAGCTACTCGTTCCAGCTCAGTGTCCTGCCTGAGCTGGCACGGGTCACGTCACACTCGCCCGCAGACAGGCACTTCTTTGTCCTCAGCCTCCTTCTCCCCTCGGACTTCATCCTGGCGGCTTCTTGGAGGCTTCTTCGGGGCCTCGTGGGGGTTCCAGGGGGCCCGTGTGGGTATCGGAGCCTTTTTGTGGCGCGATGGTTCTACTGAGCTCTCCCGAAGAGGCTTCGTTGAATCGTCTTGGGGACGCATGGGCGGGTGGTAGGGCCATCTTGAAGTCCTCGTAGGATGCCTTGCGGGGTCGTCGGTCTGTCTTGGAATTGGCTTGAGGCCTTCCTGAAGCTGCCTCGAGCTCTTCCTGTGGCTCTCAGATGCTTCTCTGGCCTGATCTGAGGCTAGGAAGCCTTGGCCGCAGCAACGGTTCCATCGCCGTCGTCTCGACGTGGCTGTCTTCCGATGGGCATACTGGTCTCTGCGCTGCCCGCCTCCTCGACGAGTGCTGCGACGACGACGACGACGACGACGACGACGACGACGACTTGCGTTGCCCGTTGAGTCCGCCTGAAGGCTTACGAATACTTTCGTGGCCTGAGTGCGACGCCCTTGTCACGTTGATCGGACCTGAGGTGCAAGCTTGTGGCGTCAGAGTGCGCCGCCCCTCTCCCTCCCTCCTTCTGCGGCCGCCCTCCACTGCCCCCTGGCCCGCTCGTCTACCGTTTGATTTTTGCAGCGCCGTCCCTGCTCTGGCTGCGGGTGCGGTGCGCGGTCGCCACCGATGTGACCAAAGCGTATTTCGCTCCACAGAGGGACAAAGGTGCCCATACCGCTACACCTGCCTAGAGTTTGTCCTTTTTGGGCCTCTTTGGAGGCCCTCGTCGCCACCGCTGGAGTCGCCTCGGAATTCTGGTCAGGACGCACTCTGGGAGAGGTCTGGGGTGTGACGGTATTGGTACCTTTTGGTTTCCCCATCGTTGCTTTTCCCCTCCCCGTGTCTCGCACGGGGCCTCCTCCAACGCCTCTTGGCCTGGGCTCCTCGGGCCGCTCCCTTGCTGCACGAGCTCGGCTTCAGATTTTTTGAGAGGATGTCGCTGGGCCGTCCTGTGGGCTGGCCTTCGGGCATGCTGCCGCCATCTTGGCGCGGCCTCGGGCCGCCTTGGGATTGTCTAGTGACCGAGCGGGGTGCCGAAAAGCCAGAATAAGGGGGGGAGGCTGTCTGATATGCGGGGGCGGGGAGCTCGTTCCCTGCAGAGTTGCAGAAGCTCTGCCATACAGCAAAGAAGCGTTTTCGCACTCCAGTATCGCGGAACGTCGTGACGGATATCCAGGTGCTTGCGGCAAGTCCCGTAACCGTGCCAGCTTAGCCCGTTGGGTGGCATAGCGTCGAGCATCGAAGGCCCTCGCATGTGACACCTTTCGTTTTCGTTTCTTTAGATGATCTCACGGGTGGACAAACACTTCGGCCATCTTGAGTCTGTCTTGGGCTCCTGTGGGGCAGTCTCTGATGTCCCTCGGGGCCCTCTTGGGCCGTCCTGTGCCTCTCTTGGGTCGCCTTCGGGCCATCTTGGCCGTCTAGGGGATTTCTTGGGGTCGTCGTGGGGCCGTCTTGGGAAGAGTCTTGGGGCCGTCTTGGGGCCGTCTTTGGCCATCGAGAGGCTCTCTCAGGCCGTCTTGGGTCTCCCTGGAGGCCCTCTTGGGCAATCTTGGGGCTCTCTTTTGCGGCCGTCCTTGGCCGCCTGGGGCCCTCTTTTTGATCAGCTGCCTTGAGGCCGTCTGGAATGATTATTGCGAAGGTCTTACGGCCGCTGCCGCCGACCCTAAAGGGGAACGACGATAACGGCGGCGGCGACGACGACGACGCTGACGTGGGTTAGAGTCCTCATGGATGCTTGTTGTGGTCTCTTCGAATCGCTCTCGAGGGCCTCTGGGGACAGTTTACGGCCTCATGGGAGCTTTTGGGGGGCCTCTTGGGGGCCTCTCGGGGCTTCCTGGGAATCTCTCGGGGGGCCTCTGGAGGCCTCTTGGGGGCCTCTTGGGGGCCTCTTGGTTCCTTCCTCCTCGGAGCCTCTCGGGGCCGAGGGCTCGAAATGTCCGTTGTGGTTGTTCCTCGTTTGGGCACCCTCTTAAGGCCGTCTTGGGGGCCTCTTGGGCCGTCTTGGAGGCGTCTTGGGCCGTCTTGGGGCCCTCTTTGGCCGTTCTGGGTCCCTCCTGGAGCCCTCTTGAGCCGTCTTGGGGCGATATGGGGCCTCTTGGGCCGTCTTGGAGCGTTGGGAAGCGGAAGTGGCGAGAACGCCGACATGCTTTAAAGACCAATGGTAATCAGTGTTTTTACCTCTTGGGGCCCTCGTGGGAGTGCCCCTTGAGGCCTTTTGGGGCGTCTTGCAGGGCTCTTGGGCCGTCTGCAGGCCGTAAAGGCGTCTTGGACAGATCGTTTGGCGATTCGGAGCCCTCGTGGGCCGTCTTGGGGGCCTCTTGGGGCACTCTTGGCCCGTCTTGGGTTTTTTCTGGCCGCGGGATCCCCCCCGACGGGAGTCGTATCTTACCCTGGACCCCCCCCCCGGACCCCCCGGTCGAATTGTAAACACCGGTTTGATGGTATACACATGGCTCATTTCTAATAATTCGAAAAGTCTTTGATTTTTTTGGGGCCGAGATCCTTTCATTTCTAATTGTTCTATCCTGGGCGTCTTCCTGGCCATTAGGGGACCAGGAACAATTAGAAACGAGCACAAGTAGAAATTAACACCATTAGAAATAAACGACGTGTATACAGCAGTGGAATGGAGTTTTCCCGGGTCAAACTGGTTTACTCCCCGGTTGCTTGTTTAAACGTGAGGAAATCTGACTCGTCGCAGAGAGGCATCGTCAGGCTTCTAAAAGGCTTCTAAGAGGCCTTCAAGAAGCCTCCAAGAAGCTTCTAAGAGGCCTCTGAGAAGCCTCTATGAAACTTCCACGAGGCCTTCACGAAGACTCTAAGAAGCTTCTTAGAGGTTTCTAAGAGGCCTCTGAAAGGCCTCTACGAAGCCTCTCAGAAACTTCTACGAGGCTTCTCAGAGGACCCTTAGATGCTTTGAAGAACCCTTCCTGACGCTTCCAAGAGGCTTCTACGAAGTTCCCAAGAGGCTTCGAAGAGGCCTCTGAGAAGCGTTTTAGACGTCTTCGAGGCTTCTTTAGAAACTTCTAAGAAGCCTTGACGAGACTGCTAAGAGGCCTCTTAGATGCTTCTAAGAGGCCAGTAGAGGTTTCTTGTGAAAAACCTCTAGAGGCCTTCGAGGCCTCTTAGAGGCGTCTAAGAGGCCTGTTTCAGGCGTCTTAGAAGCTGACAGGAGGCCTGTACGAGGGAGGCTTCTAAGGAGCATCTACGAGGCCTCTATGATGCTTCTAAGATGCCTCTAGAATGCCGCTATTTTTTACCACAGACGCCACATGACAGCACCAATATAAATACTGTTGCTGCTACTTTTCGTACTACTACTAACTACTACTATTATTTTCTACTACTACTACTACGACGACTACTCCTACTACTACCACCACCACTACTACTACTACTACTACTACTACTACTACTACTACTACTGCGGCTACTACTACTACTCATACTCATCCTCCTCTTACGATTACTACTATTACTATTACTACTACTACTACTGCTACTACTAGTACTACTACTACTACTACTACTACTACTACTACTACTACTACTACTACTACTACTACTACTACTACTACTACTACTACTACTGCTGCTACTACTACTACTACTACTACTAACTACTACTACTACTACTACTACTACTACTACTACTACTACTACTACTACTACTACTACTACTACTCCTATCCTTATTCCTTATTAGAATATACTCCTACTCCCCCCTCAGGCCGGCCATTAGGGGCCGCATCCGGGGGTCCCATCCTAACCTGTAAAAAACAATACAAAATCAACATTTTTCTTATTTTTTCCTCTCGACATGGACGTCCTGTCGTCCACGGCGATAATCCATTGCAAAAAATACCACAAAGAGCACACGCGCGCGTTCATGTCAGAATCCTACCGAACACCGTGTGTTTGCAAGCATTTCAACATAAAAACATCAAAAACCCAATGCTTTTTCACAAAAATTGTACAAATTTCCCGCCCGGGCTCTCTTGCTGAAATCATAGGAAAACCATAGGAATCTTA